AATCTTATTAAAGTATACTAAATCAGAAGATTAGAATTATTTATTTGTCTACACTCAAACTATAAAAATAAATCTATATATGGCTTTAGTTCCCATTTTCATAAAATTCATATAAATCATGGGGCTTTTTGTTTGGTTGTTTTTGGTTTTTTTTTTTAGTCGAGGCACTCTAAAAACACCTGTGCAATTCAAAGTCAACTTTAAGCAAAAATCAACATTTGGAAAAATTACTTCTTACTGATTTCCCTACACTTGATGAAACTTGTGCTTCCCAGGGAATAAGCACAGCCCATTTTAATGGACTAGTGGATTTTCTACATCTGTTCTAATGCAAATCTCTTTGGTCACCTAAGGCTCCATGGTGGGTAAACAACCTAATGTGTCAGCTTTCTGTACTGAAGATCACAGTTTCTGATCTCAGCACTGTCTTCATTGCTGCAAGCAAAACAGTGGTACTGATGTTGCAACTTACAGGCTACTCTCTTCTGATAATGAATGGGTTGGGTTATTGGCCTCTGGCATGGACAAAAATATGACAATCAGCCTCTTCATTATATAAAAGTCTACAGTGAAGACAGTGCCAGACAACTTGCTGAGTATTAGAGCTTAAATATGTTCAAAAGTCAAAAAGCCCGTGGAACGATTCTTTTTCCTTCTTTTCCATTAAGACATAGTCAATTTATCAAAAAGAGTTTTAATACAGTGTTTCCACCACAGCAACTTGTATCTTCAGGAAATCATTTGCAAAACACAGCTTTAGCCTACAAATACTTCATGCTCATTCCCTGCAAAAGTAACAGAGAGGCTGACCTTTCTTACATCTGCAGTTGTTAATTGTCATCATCGTAACAGCACATGAAAACAAAGTTTAAGTCACTGGCACTTAAAAAACCCCATCATATTAAATCTCGTTTACCTGCAGGGATAGAAATTCAGAGTCAGGAGCAAAATCTGAAGGCAGAACAGACATGAGAAAGTGCACCCAGTCGCAGGGTTTAGCAACTGTACCGAGATTCTCTTCTAGTGCACGTTCTGAAACAGCAATCGAATCTCTCAGCACTTGGTACCAAACTGGAAACATTTTTCTTCTACAACATTATGTAAACTTTAAACAACTCATTTATGATCCTTTTCTTATGAAGATTAACAGAACATTCACTAGAAGATTAATTGAAAATAAAATTTTTTAAAAAAGGATAACAGAAAGGGTAAACGAGACCAGACTAGGACAAACAACTCAAGCTATTTACAAATATTTTTATAATGACTAGAAATCATAGAGCCCTCTTTAACTGTCTAACTTAAAAAACAATAACAAAAAAAAAAAACCAAACAAGCCAAAAAAATGCATCATCTGTTGACTGAACACAGGGCCTGATTTTCAAAGCTGCTGAGCACCCACAAGTCCATCTGAAGTCAGTGGAAGTGATGAATGCTCAGCAGCCTGGCAAATCAGGCCCAAACTGTCCAGGGGTCTGCTAGCAGCCTAACAGAAGTGCTGTTTAGAGTAGGGGGTTTGTTGCAGAATTGAGGAGGTTCAAAGTAATCTGTCAAAGAAGTGCTGCTACATTCATGAGTCGTAAAGCTAGCTGGCTCCCAGCTATGGGAAAAAAGTTAATTCATAGGGCTCGTAGGGCTTGCATTTGTCAAGGAGCAGGACGTCAATGCTATCATTATCAGGCAAATCAGCCAGGCGTTTAATGGTAGAATCAGGAGACATTTGCTCTCCACTATCAGAATGACATCATAACTAAAGCAGCCTTCGGCGAGGGGGGAGAGCCGGGGCAAGGCTGGGGCTGAAGGCAGACTTTGTACTTCTGCCCGGCTCGCCCCACCGAAGGCGGCTCCCCTTCCCCACGAGGCAACTTCCAGCTCTCAGCTGCATTCCCTCCACAACTTTCCCTCGCAGCATCCGAAACACCAGCATCTGCTTTCACAAAATACTTCTAAACCTGCCCGATCCAAAACTGCAATATTGCAAGCCAGCCACTCGGTTAGGAGGGGATGGGGTTTACACAGAAGCTACAAAATCACTCTAAAAATTGCTGATATTTTTAATAACATCAGTTACCTTCATCCTCCGTCAAATGGGGTGGGGGGGTACATACACATTAAAAAGCCAGTTGCCTCTCTGATTTAAGAAGTAACAGCTTAGGTAACTTAGTCGATTTTTAAGCATACACAAACACAAACAATCTTTGAATATTCTGACATATTTAGTGATGATCTATTCGATGACCAGAAATATAACTGCAATACACATTTCCCTTCCACAGTAGCCATAATTATACAAGTCAAACAGCACAAATTACAAACTGTTAATCTATTTCCTTTAACAACATCACTACAGGTACACAGGCATGGTACAAAAGCCTCACCTTGTATAACAACTGTGAGGGAAAAAGTTATGAAAGCAGACAGAAAACCTAAAATCCCTGAGGCTACAAAAAAATCTCGCTATTGAGAAACAACCCAAGAGACCACATAGGGAATGTACAGCTTTCAGAAGCACTTCTCATCTTATTTGCACTTAACCTATTGATGTACTTATGCAGGTCACTTACTTTTCGGATATGTTTGAACCCTTTAAAACCATGCAGATCGCCGCGGTTTTCACTTGGGCTTTTGTTTTTTTGGTTTTGTTTGGGTTTTTGCAAACAAGTTTCATTTAAAAAAGATCCAATTATGCAAATCTGCTCCCGGATAGGTAGTGAATATTCAATATGATGGTGATACTGTAATAGTTCAATGCAACGCACTGTACTGGACAGATTTATGAGGCAACGTCACTACTACGCTCTGGTCCTCGCTGAAGCATCTTGAAGTTAATTAAAGCTGCAATGTCCACTTTTCCAGCCACCCTCCTCATTCAGGTTTACTATTTCAACATCAAACCACCGAGGGGGCCTCCCCCCTCTCTCCGTACATTTAAGGAGCCTTGCACAGTCAATGAACAATGAACAAAGATTTGAGCGATGGGGGGCAGGGGGGGAGAGGAAAAAAAATCTCCAAAAAATCAAATCCGGTTTAAACAAGTAAAAATATAGTTTCTAATATTAAACTAGAAAAGAAAACATTCTTCTCCGAGCGAACGTGCAGAGGCGCTTAGCCAACCCCTTCAGAAAGGGTCTAAAAGCAGCCAGTCCTTTTTATTTCGAGCAGTGAATGAGCCCAAACAAGGCTCCTAAACTTAATTATGACACTTAAAATAGTCTTTTTCCACAGAAGCGGGCGGCTCGCCGCCGCTATCTGTATCAGCCGGGCACATCAGCTCAGCAAACACGGCCCCTGTTGGATTTATTTTAAACTGCACGGGGGGGCGGGGGGCGAGGGAATGCACAGCCCCGCAGAGCGCTCCCGCCGCGGGCGGCCGGGCAGCCGCGCCCCGCGCCCGCCCCTGCCCCGCGCCCGCGGAGCGCCGCGCCCGCACCGCGCCCGCACCGCGCCCGCTCCCCGGCCCGCCGGCGGCTCAAGTGCGGACGCGGGGATCTGACAAATCACGTCCCCGCCTCGACACTGTATCAGCCGCGGCCACATCCGCCGCACGCACCCCGAAACAATGCCCGCCGCGCAGGCAGGCGCGGCCGGAGCCCTCCCCGGGCGCCGGCACCCGCGGCCGCACCGCGCCCCCGGCCCCGCCGCCGCGCCGGGGCACGCCGGCAACTAACTTTTCGGATGGAGCCCGTGCGAGCCGCCCCGCGGGAGCCGCGGACCCTCCGATAAACAGCATAAATCTTCGCGACCTTTTATTTTGCGTTGAAGTTCACAGGCGGCAGCGCTCCCCCAACCCCTCTCTCTCTCACACACACACACATACACACATATATATTAATTATTTGCAAAACTGCAACAGATGGGCGCATTAAAATCTGGATTCTTTCCTACACAGCATCAAAGAATCTCTCCTTCCTCCCCCCCTCCCGCTAATCCCGCCGCCGGCCCGGTGCCCCCCCGCCTCCCGGCCGCGCAGCCCCGCGCAGCCCCGCGCCGGAGAGCGAGGCCGCTGCCCCGCGCAGGCAGCGGCGCCCCCGCGGCCCTCCGCGCTCGGCGCGCCGCCGGGAAGGTGATGCTCGCCCCCCTCCCCGCCGGGGATTGCCATTTAAGTTTCCTCCTTAACCTGTTACTTTCTCCGGGCGCTGACAAAAGCCCCGGCGGCGGGCTGGCAGGTGCCTCCCCGCTCCCCGCGGCGCCGCCGGGCGCGCTCCGCTCCCCCCGAAAGGGCTGAGACCTGGCCTGACATTTAGTGCCTACTTGAATGTCACAACGCTCCTCGCAGCATTATGCACGGCTCCTATTCATAAGAGGTCGATTAGAGCACAAAATGGCAGGTCTCTTAGGCACTTGAATCTCACAAGTTTGACACATGGTATGCATCAGCTAACTTTGATTAAAAAAAAAAAAAAAAAAAAAAAAAGAGGGGGGGAGTTTACAAATTACACCACGATTAGCCGGGATCCTAACGGGGGAGGGAGGGAGGGAGGGGGGGGCCCGCGTTTAAAGTCACTTCAGCAAAGTTTGCTCCGCAGCAACCCTTTAAAACAAAAAGTTTCTGGGCAAGTTAAGGGCAGGGTCGGTGCGGGCTGGGGCCGGCGGCGGGCGGCCCCCGGGCAGCTCCGCGGCCGCCGCCGGCACTCGCCTCCCCTCGCCTCGCCCGCCCGCTCCTTTTTTGTAAAGTAACGGTTTTAAAAGAAACGAGAGAGAAAGAGGAAAAACGTCGGGTTTTCTTCAGGCTAAGTTCTATAGCGCCATTCAATGGCTTCTCCGCTCCTTTCATTATTTTCTGCTTTTCCCCTGACAGCCCTGCTTGCAAACGTCACTGCTATGGATATTTAATTATACTGTATTTTTTTAATCACGGTGGAAAACGCAGGCCCCATTGCCATGATTAAAAAGAAATAAAAAACAAAAACATACTCCGGACTGACTTTGGAGCCTCTTTGATGGCTCACGGGAGCCTCCCGGATCCTCAAAAACCCCCTTTTTACCTTTGTCTTTCTTACCTTAAAATTTAAAGCAAAGCGTAGAAGAAACTCCCGCACGTAAACGGAGCGTTGTAAAAGATTGTGTTCAATGAATAATGAAGCATGTCCACATGATTGACTTGATCATTTTCTTGTGCGGAGGGGGAAAAGTGCGGCGCGGGGCTGCCGCGGCCGCCCGCTCCGGGTAGCCCTCCCAACTGCTTCCAGCACATCCCGAGCAAAGAGCGCTTTATTTTAATCTGTCTCTTTTCAGAATAACCCCCTTCATTGATACTGATCACCCAACATCACAAGACATCCCCATCTCTCAGCGTGGACTCCCCCTATCTGGTAGGTGAAATGCATTGTACCATTAAAAAAGCACTCCATTGTCGTCTTGGCATAATTCACAGCAACTAGATAGGTCTTGCGGCATTTAGCTTTGATGAGCCAAAAGCTGAACCCTTGATATAATAATCTACAAAGAATGGTCTGTGATCGTCCATTTTTTCTCCCTGTCTAGCAACTAAGAAACCATTTAACACGGCGCAGCTTGGTCGTGACCTTGAGCGCGTGTAAACACCCCGAGGAGCCCGCGCCGCTCCGCAGCCCCCCGGCCAGCGCCGCTGCCCGCGCCCCGCGCAGCCCCCGCGCCCGCGCAGCCCCCGCGCCCGCGCCCCGCGCCCCTGCCCGCGCCCGCCGAGCCCCCGGGGGCAGCGCCGGGCTCCACAAAGCGCCCTTCTTACCTGCTCCCGAAACTATGCAAAGTCTGTTTCTCCTAAAAAAAAAAAAACTCCCGGGGAAACCTTGGCGGACAGGGGGACCGGAGCATCAGTCACCGCTCCGGCGTTTAAGAGAAGTAATCAGCGATAAAGTGACGTTGATCTGCACTGTAACCTTGTGGCGTATTTAATGTAAATAAGCCAGTTATGTTGCCAATCGCATGCATACAAACACATAAAGGTCCTCAGCGTTGCATTTTGATTCTTTCCATTAGAGCCGACTTTATTTACATACACTATTTAGGGGATCATGATAATTCTAAAACAATACTAGTGCCAAATGATTATGAAAATATGATTTTAATTAATCACGTAGTAGGCAAGGAAATTAGCATACGGTAATTAAACTTAGAGAAAAACGTCATGGAGGTTCTCTGCCTTATGGGTTCGGAATAATCATTAAACGATGGGTTTTCAGGACTTAATTATCAAACAAATAACTTTTTTAAAGCAACTTTACACGGTTTATCCGCAGGGCAACGATTTAGTAAATAATATATAACCAAGCAAACAAGGTGCAAATGTGACTGGTGAAATAGGTTGTGTTTCTACAAAGCAGAAGGGGGGGGGGGGGAGAAGCTGAATAATGCAATTATGGATTCTGTGTCCCATAGTTGACAAAAGCATGGTGCCTCAATAGACTCTTTGTTATGGGATTATATAATGATTGTGGTGTAATTATGGGAAAAAAGATTTAGTAATAATAAAAAGTATCAAAATACACCAATGAGCAGCTTGTTTTAAAGAAAAGGCTTGCATGTGACATTAGGGGCATGTTAATAACAAAAAGCCAGGATCCGAAAGGGTTGACAAATAAAAAAGACTGTGATGCGCATGATTAAGAAGCGATGGAGACAGATTGATTATTCAAAATGCCGAGCCACAGGGACACTTAAAACATTGATTCAGGTAAGACTAGTTTCATCTTGACTGAAATGAGTTCCCTGAAGATGACTGGCATACATTTTAAATCAGTTTACTACATAAAAAGCATAACATCACAAGCTGAAACCTTCTAGTTAAAATAGGAATCCATGAGAAAAAAAAAAGTTTATGTTTGTGGCAATTCCCAGAGGGACTATGGAATTGCAGAGGAAGGGGTATAGATTAATTAGCTCTTCCTAAACACTGGACTTAAATGTGCACATCTTTTATAATCCCTAGCCTCTGTTTCTGGAGTCTGTGGTCCAATCCCACTTCTGCAGGTTATGGGGGTGATATTAATAACCCTAAAGGTACAATAGGACTTTTTTTTTATAGAACTACAGTGAATTAACTTTCTCTAATAACTGAAAAAATTAGCAACATTTTTCCAATTGGTATTTGAAGTGAAGTTTATAAATAGTTGTTCAGAGCTATTCAACGTAAAAAAAAAAAAAAAAAAAAAAAAAAAAAAAAAAAAAGATTCCCATGCCTATACGAAAAAGTTTAGGAATTCACTCTGCATTTTCCAATTTGATGTGTCTGAAATTCTCTTTGAACAAATTCCAAAATACAAGTTTTTTCTATAGAAATTAGCATAGCAATCACATCAATAATATCACTATCTCTATGGGAATGATAACTGGAGCAGTGGGGGTGTTCTTTATTTCAATTCTTCGTGGATCAACTGATTATATTCTGTCTTCTTTTGAACTTGTTATTGTAAGTCAAGTGATTCTTTATAAGTGACAGCCCTGACAAAGAGACGAGGATGGGAAAGCAGGTCGAAAGGAAGTCGCCATATGGACTTTAAAAAAGGCACTTTTTAAACAAGATAATGGGGAAATGGATGTTGCCTTTTAACCCTGTCAAAGCTGAACATTATTAGCAGTCTCATAAAAGAATGAGCTATACCTTTTTTAAAAAATATCAGATTTCACCTTTGGATTTCTGTGACCTAGGGCTACATAAAACAAACCACATAGGAGGGGATGGCATTTCAGAGGCAGGGGCCAAATCAAGTACCTGGAGTCAGCAACAGACAGGAGATTTCAGAGCACTGTACAAAGAGTTACAGAAGAATGAGAACTCAGGAAAACCCCATGGTTCTTTTTCCTGAGACAAAGATAAGAATATTGACTAGAGATAGGTGAAACAGCAACTGACAGCAAAGGAGCTTGAGACATCTAACTGGGATTTCCTGTTCCTCTGGAGTAAGTGCCTGATGCTCATTTAGAAACAACAATTTGAGTGAAAACAAGCATGAACATGAGGGCTTTGACTCTGATCTTTGCAGAAATTCAAATATTTCTCCTTCTCTTTCTGTTCCGGAAAGAAAAATAATTTCCCTCTAGAAACTTTCAAGTGGACAAAGATTAAGAATCATCTCCCAGGAAGCTGAGATTAGGTACTAACTAAACCCTCACTAAGGTGAGGGCAGAGCAGTGGTCCAGCACTGGTGAATCACCAATCAAATTTACTTTTTTTTTCTTTCCTTTTTTTTTTTTTTTTTTTGTAGTCAGTTGGATGGTCCAGATCATCCTCCAACTCAACTCTACAGGAAGAAAATGTTAAACTCTCCTCAAAATCTGGAAAAGCAGGGTTAGTACTTGCAGGAAGAGGTGCTGTCAAGGGAGGATTCTGTAAACAAGACTGATCAAAATTATTTTCCCCAGCACCTCATAGACATGATTATTTGGGCTGGGATGGCCCAAAGTGGACCACAAAGAGATAATGTAGATCCATGAGCTCAGTAGCTCAGTGCTTCCTAAAGACAAGAGACCTCCTCATTTTATTGACACACTGACAGGCTCCAGCACCTAAGTAATGAATAGTGGTTAGCTAAGATTCAGAAAAATCTCAAATTTGAGCCCAGAGAGTGTTTGCTCGAAGATCTCTCAGAATTCAGAGTATTCTTAGGCACCATCAGCACTTCTATAGTTCCCCCAAGTATTCCTTCCTATTTTTCCCCATTTTTCACTACTGTTCCTTTCTCCTTTTATTGCATCCAGGGAAAGGTATTTTCTCTTTAAAGCTCTCAGCTGTCCTTAGCTACTTCTCCAACTTCTTTAGTCGGTTGTATTCCTTTCTGTGCCTCCCCTATGAGTGGGCAGGAATACTCTGCCTCTTCAAAACAAGGTAAAAACTCTGTATAGAGAGGACAGAGGGAAAGATCAGAGGAGATGTACAAGAGCCTTCATCTGCAAGGCTCTTGCACTGCCTTGGAGCATAGTGGGCACCTTCTCAGGGAGGAAAAGCTATCAGCTACAGACTTATCAAACTTTAAAAAGTAGGAAGAGAGAAGTGAAAGATTAGTTCCTCAGCCAGGCAACATTACCTTTCACCATTATTTCTACCTTTGTGGAATGATAGCCTTCTAGAAGATCTCATTTCAGATAGATGTAAATTACAGGAGACAATACCTCAAATCTCCTCAAGTTTGATGAGTCCAATGAAAGTCCAGGTAGGAGGAGTATTTTTGCTACACAGGAAAGTACCAAAAGACATAGAGTAGACATAAATTACTGGTCATACAGTAATTTAAATGATGGGTGGGGGAGAAACATTTGCTTTATATATTTAAATATTAGTAAGTTGTTTGCTTTATAAGGAAGGACCATGGAATAATCCTGCCTTTGTTCTTAAAAAGTGTGATCAGCATTTTCTTCCTAAAGAGAGGTGATAAGCAACTGGGCATTTTTTCCACAAAGGCTGAAGCAACCCATTGAAATGCCTTTGGGAGGGGGTCTCTTCTCCAAGGAAAAGCAGAACATCAGGTCTTTAATATTGATAAGGAAAGGCACATAAAAGAAACCATCCAATAGCAGGAACTTTAAATAAGGGATTTCAGAAAACTTGCACTAAATGTTTCAACAAACTCTGGAACAGGTGGTGCAATCTACATGGCAGTCTGAGCCAGTGAAAACACAAGTCAGCCAGCAAGGAAGTTGCTGAAGCATGGTTCAAGAAGACATAAATAAAACACTCTCACAGGAAAAGAAGGGAAAAGCCTTTCAAAGTTGTGTTACAAACACGGGGGTTTCCTGGGCAGAACCCCAGCAAACAGACAAGGGGAATGGAGATTTTCCCAGTGGCACAGATTCGAAGAAAGCTTCTTGGTAAAGGGACTCTGAGGTCCCAGCTTTCAAAAGAGTAGAGGCAGAACCCATTTGAGAACAAGCTGTCTGTTTCCCAGGGGCCATGACCAAAATAAATATCTCTTTACAGATTTGATCAACCAAGGTTGTACTCACCATCATCACAGGGTCAAGATAATCAGAATCTGTAAAATGCTGGGTGTTTTTAGGAGATAAATGCACATCCTCAATATAGCAGTCAACTACCATTGAGCCTGGTATCACAGTCTACTTGCACTGGTCATAAAAAGCAGATACTAAGGTTGGGAGCCTATGTTGGCCACTTTTTGTGATAAAGTCATTGCAAACATTCATCAAATCACAGCCACCAGGAAAGGATCCAAATGAGTACAAAATGGACATCAGGAAGAAATGCAACAGAAGCAGCAGCTAAAGCCAGGTCACTGTGGAGGTGCATCTCCCTCTCACAGCACTGATTCTTTTCCTTAGCAAAATAAAAGAAAAACTGCAATGAAGAGAAAAAGTCCTTCAAGGTATTATGGACTGACAGAATAATACATGGCTTTGGAGCTTTCTGTGAACAAAAGTGACCACCTTTGTGGTTTAAAAACATAAGGAGCTGAGTAAAGCAGTAATAAAGAAAAAAAAAATTCTTTTTTTTCCCTTAAGTGAAAGACCCTTTTTACATTAAAGAGTGAACAATGTCCTCAATAGATCCACCTAGTGGAATTGAGCAAATTCTGCTTCCAGAATAAAGGCACATATATAAACCTATGCAGGACATACTTCTGTGCCCATCTTCCATTCAGCACAACAGGGGCTCCCATATCCTCCAAGAGAGCAAGAGTGAAAGCTGCAGTAAGTCTCAGTACAAGCACAATGTAGAAGATCAGGAGACAACTGTTGCTTCAGGATTTAAACTTTAACATTTAAATTTATGTGGAATTGGTATAGCAGGTCTCCTTCTCCAGCTGTAATCACCAGGAATTATGGTTGATAAAGAGGAGAAAGTGCTGGGAAAATATCCAAAAGAATAGCTGAACTTCAACTTAAAGTGCATTACCACTGACTTATCTCTTGTAGCAAATTCACATTGAGCCTGTTCTCAGTCTGTCAGAGCTCTTCAGGAGCTATTTAAAAGAGATGGTGAGATCTGAGGTAAGACTCTGGAATAATTTTTTGGGGAAGCATTTCTTCTAACTCAACTATTCTAACAAATATCCCACTTTTCAACAGTTTCCTTAAACTTTTCCCTTTTCTTTCCACCCTGGTCCCAAAGATCACAGCAAACCCTAGACATCTAATGATTATAACTTTGTGCTCATCCCAGCAATTGGCCACTTTCTTTTATTGATGAACTCCAGTGTGCCAAACATGTTGCTTTGAGATCCTGTTCCATCCAAGCTCTCCCTTTCCTCTGCCAGTTGCATGCAGTCCCCTGTGCTGCCTGTGCCTCCCTCCTGGCTCACAGCTGCCCTCCCAGAACCTCCTCCATTGTCAGACACCACCTTGTTTAAGTGTTGTGCCATCAGAGAATGCGCAAATTTCTTTAATGGAAAGAGCCCCTTTTTAAGGATGTGCTGGAAATGTTGGTGTCTTACCT